TTTTTTTTTTTTTTTTGAGATGGAGTCTTGCTCTTGTTACCTGGGCTGCAGTGCAATGGCATGATCTCGGCTCACTGCAACCTCCACCTCCTGGGTTCACATAATTCTCCTGCCTCAGCCTCCTGAGTAGCTGGGATTACGGGTGCCCACCAGCACGCCCAGCTAATTTTTGTATTTTTAGCAGAGATGGGGTTTCACCATGTTGGCCAGGCTGGTCTTGAACTCCTGACCTGGTGATCTGCCCCCTTCCCTCCACCGGCAATGGCCTCCCAAAGTGCTGGGATTACAGGCATGAGCCACCACTCCTAGCCTATATTACTTTTATAATTAAAAGTGTAATCTAACATTTTCTTAAAGTTTGGTATTCAATGGAGAGGAGGTTGGCTGTTAGGTAAATTGACCATTAGCTGAACAGACTATAAATTGGTTTTTAGTAGATTGTGATCAGCATTTTAAAGCGGGAAAGGAGGCATGAAGAAGAATAAATAGAATAGAACACAAAATACGAGAGCCCATCACATGTAGTTTTTTGTTTTTTAAATTTTATAGAGACCAGGTCTCACCATGTTGCCCAGGCTGGTCTTGGACTCCTGGGCTCAAGGAATCCTCCCACCTTGACCTCCCAAAGTGCTGGGATCATGGGTGCAAGCCACCACAGCTGGCCTCATGGAGTTAAAGTACATGTTATTTGTGAACATTTCATCTTGGTTGCATGTCTGCTGGATTATGATGTAAAACGTACTTTGTGCTGTGCGCTGATGTATGGTGAAATATTATATTAGTTGATATGATCTGTTACCAGGTGACATTCTCCCTCGCCCGTCACTGCCAGCTCGCCACTGCCAATCCTAGCAGACTGTGAAGCTCGGGATTAGGCAATGGATAAGCTGCCTTTGGACTCTAAATAAGCTCTTTTAGGATAACTTGGGCGACAAGCCAGAAAGATGGGGAGAATGAGGGTGGAGGACCCTAATGCTTTGCCTTTGGGGACCCCGGGACTCATGGCTGCAAGGATAACCAAGACCCACACCTAGATTCACTAAATAACTATTTGCTCTGGAGCTCTGGCCCTGGGGTGGCTGTACCCAGATAGGTCAGGAACCCCAGCCCAGGGGAAGGAGTGTCTGTCTTCTGGAGCCCCGCAGAGGGTTCCCAGGCGAGGCTACCCACCCAGGGCGCTGGTCTCTAGCGTCAGCGTGACAATGCAGAACAGGTTGACGTTGGCGTTGTAGACAGTGAACTCCACAAACACAGCTCTGGTCAGGGCATCCAGCCAGGTGTTGTCAAAGAGATAGCGGAGAATTCTGCGGAAAAGAGTGGCATTGCGGCACTTCTACCCTGCAGGGGCTCCATGTTCCCGCAGCCCCTTGACCGAGGCCAGAGCTTCCTGTCTCAACTTCTCCCTCTGCTTCTGCTCTGCTCCCTGGGCCACCAGGCCACCAGGGCTGCTCCTGGGAGTGGTCACATTTTGTAGCCCATGCTGTGATGTGGTGGCACCCCTCATCTCCTGTCCATGAGAGCAGAGATTCTCGAAGTGTGGTCCCCACACCAACAGCATCAGCATCACCTGGGAACTTGTTGGAAATACAGATTCTCAGGCCCGCCCTAGACCTGCTGAGTCAGAAACTCTCAGGGGAGCCCAGAATGTGTGTTTTGATGAGCCCGCCAGCATTCAGATGCTTTTTATGGTTTGAGCGCCATGGTGTTAGAAGAAACATAGTTCAGGTGCAGTGGCTCATGTCTGTAATCTCAGCACTTTGGGAGGCCAAGGTGGGTGGATCCCCTGAGGTCAGGAGTTTGAAACCAGCCTGGCCAACATGGTGAAACCCCGTCTCCGCTAAAGACACAAAAATACAAAAATTAGCCAGGCATGGCCAGGTGCGGTGGCTCATGCCTGTAATCTCAGCACTTTGGGAGGCCGAGGTGGGTGGATTATCTGAGGTCAGGAGTTCGAGACCAGCCTGACCAACATGGTGAAACCCCATCTCTACTAAAAATACAAAAATTCGCTGGGCATGGTGGCGCATGCCTGTCATTCCAGCTTCTCAGGAGGCTGAGATGGGAATTGCTTGAACCCAGGAGGCAGAGGTTGCAGTGTGTCAAGATCATGCCACTGCACTCCAGCCTGGGTGACAGTGTGAGACTATCTCAAAAAAAGAAATAAAGGGCCAGGCATGGTGGCTCATGCCTATAATCTCATCACTTTGGGAGGCCGAGGCAGGCAGATCACCTGAGGTCAGGAGTTTGAGACCAGCCTGGCCAACTTGGTAAAACCCTGTCTCTACTAAAAATACAAAAAATTTAGCCAGGCGTGGTGGCACGTGTCTGTAATCTCAGCTACTCAGGAGGCTGGGGCAGGAGAATTGCTTGAACCTGAGAGGTGGAGGTTGCAGTAAGCCGAGATCATGCCAATGCACTCCAGCCCAGGCAACAGAGCAAGACTCTGTCTCAAAAAAAAAAAAAAAAAAAAACAAGAAAAAAAGAAGGCCGGGCACGATGGCTCACGCTTGTAATCCAGCAGTGCCAGGGTTTCAAATCTAGGTCTCTTGTGTCAAGGGCATGTTGAGTCAGACTGCATGGACCCTGAGCATCCCTGCACGTTCTTACTGGGTATTCTTGGAATGCAAGACTGTGCTTGTGCTTTAGCCAAGTCACTTCTTAGGGCTGTATTTGCAGTGTGCAACCTTGTGGGATGAGGTGATGCCTTCCTTTGGACAAAGAGCAGTCTTCTTTCTGATGCTGCAAAAGCATCAAATGCCCCAGGCTCAGTATTGCAGGCACAAGCAGGCATCTTTCATGGCCCTTTGTTGTGAACTGACTCAAACCAATGTAATGTTCTGCTATGACTTTTGCTGTAACAAAATCCTTTGTCTCTGACCCAGGAATCTTGTGTCTTCTGCCAGCATCCACGAAACAGTTAACAGGTTAGCTTGTTGGCTTACAACGAGGGTAAAACCTCAGACTTTGCAGAATTCTTGACAGATCCTTAACTACTTCCCTCTTGTCTAAGGGTGGATTGCTTTGAGTGGTAGTGAGCTCCCCACCTCTGGACTGGCTCTAGCAGAGGCAACCAGGCTGTGAATGCTAGAGAGAGACTTTCCTTCCAATTCTGAGATGGCTCAGTTCCCAGGTACCTGAAAATACAACCTGCATGATTCTGAATTCACCAGGCCCTCCCACAAGGACCTGAATGAACTTGGTCCAGCCCTGTTTTGAAGACTACATTCCCCAAGCAGATGTGGACTCTAGCAAAAGACTTTACTCAGCTACAAATGAATCAAGTCAACCTTACCTTGACGTGCTTTGGCGATCAGTCCCCAAGGGGACCACGTAGCCTCCTCCCCGATACACAGTGAGTTTGCCCCAGATGGGATACCCTCGACGTTGGTCCTGGCTCTGGTACTGCCAAGCATGGGGAAAGCTACTGCCATTACCGAGGGTGGTGGCATTCCAGCCTTCCCCGTAATCTGCCAGGTCTTCAGCATCCAGGGAATATGGCGCACGGCATCCGTTGAGAGATGCCTGCAGCTGCTGGGCAAGAGGGCAAGAGCTTTCCCGGACCCTCACTTGACGAATTTGGGCACTGCCAACCAGCTTGGAGTTCCCATCAGTGATAAAGCCTAAAAAGAAAAAACAGGTGGGTAAATCTAGCAGTCAAAATAATCTTAACACATTCCAAGCTCCCTGGCCCGAGGCTAATGTGAACTTCAGCATACCCATTACAGAGACAGCCGAGAGAAGCTTTATGGCCAACTATAGGCTACATTTATCCAAATAACCTCACCATCTCTCCAACTGGAAACTACCGTGCGTCCTGCTCAACTTCTCTTAGGGAATGGAACCCCACCACCCCGTCATCAGTCTGGACATGCCTGTGCCCTTTCTCCTCAATCCTCTATCCCATGGTTACTACATCCTATCCATCCTGTTTCCATGTCTTATGTCCCCATCCCCTTCTCTCCATCACCACTTTTCCTAGTCCCTGCACCAGCCCTCATCCTGTGTTCTCAGCATCCTAATCTGCCCACCCCCTCC